TTTAATCCATCATTGCTAGAGATGGTGAGTCCAGTGGCCCAGGCTGGGACATTGAATTATTTACATAATCTTTTCAAACATTAAAGGATTGTTAAACCCAAGAATAAAAAATGTAATAAATTGCAACTCAGCCCTTCGATGTGGTGGCTGCACCAGTTCTATTTTTTCAGGCTAAGAACATTTTAGAAAGTACAGAAAATACCTGGTTATGAAATGCGGTGGCCTTGTCTCTAACTGAAATCACATTCTTTCTTCCAAGCTATTTTCAGTAAACTACAAATTACCCCCCATGTTATGGAAATGAGGAGAGGAAGACGTGTTTGTAGTCCAACTCCAGTGAGCAGCCTACTGCAACATCCATGGCTCCCTTTCATATTTGCAGCCTAAGGTGACACCCATAGCCCCCTCCAGAGATGCAGCCTATGGTTACAATCATGGCTCCCCTCAGAGATGCAGCCTATGGTGACGTCCATGACTCCCTTTATAGACGTAGCCTATGGTGACATCCATGACTCCCTTCAGAGATGCAGCCTACGGTGACGTCCATGGCTCCCTTCAGAGGTGCAGCCTATGGTGGCGCCCATTGCTCCTTTAATAGACGCAGCCTATGGTGGCACCCATGGGTTCCTTCATAGCCACAGCCTACAGTGAGACGCTTGGGTCCCTTCAGAGGTGCAGCCTAAGGTGACATCCATGGCTCCCTCCAGAGGTGCAGCCTACGGTGACGACCATGGCTCCCTTCAGAGATGGAACCTACGTTGATGATCATGGCTCCCTTCAGAGATGCAGACTATGGTGACGTCCATGACTCCCTTTATAGACGTAGCCTATGGTGACATCCATGGCTCCCTTCAGAGATGCAGCCTACGGTGACATCCATGGCTCCCTTCAGAGGTGCAGCCTACGGTGACGACCATGGCTCCCTTCAGAGATGCAGCCTATGGTTACAATCATGGCTCCCTTCAGAGATGCAGCCTATGGTGACGTCCATGACTCCCTTCAGAGATGCAGCCTACGTTGATGATCATGGCTCCCTTCAGAAGTGCTGTCTACGGTGACATCCATGGCTCCCTCCAGAGGTGCAGCCTACGGTGACGACCATGGCTCCCTTCAGAGATGCAGCCTATGGTTACAATCATGGCTCCCTTCAGAAATGCAGCGTATGGTGACGTCCATGACTCCCTTCAGAGATGTAGCATATGGTTACAATCATGGCTCTCTTCAGAGATGCAGCCTATGGTGACGTCCATGACTCCCTTCAGAGATGCAGCATATGGTGACAAGCAAAGCTCCCTTCAGAGATGCAGTGGAGTAAACCTTGCCACCCTAGAATAGGAAGTTAGTTATTAGCGGGATCGCCAGATGGAAATACAGAAAAAATACAGATTTAAAAAGAAATTCACTGCATGCTGCACTGTAATATATTAAATTTTTGTTTGTGGGTTTTAATATGCTGTAAGACAAGCATCCACTGACCTCAGTAGCTGCAGACACTGTGGAGTAATTCACCACAGTTCTTTAAAGTGTATGCCAAGCCAAAGCTTGTTTCCCCAACTTTGTTTTTTAATAGTAATACGTTTTTACTGGGGTACCAGTGCATTGTCAAATACATAGGAAATACAGATGTCAGTGAAGGGTTCATTATGTGTGCATTAGCAAGCACAGATGAGGTATACATGTATATGACATAATTAATATTCAATATAAAAAAACGCAGGTTCTACTGTCAAGGGCCAAAAGGGATTGCTGGGACTTTAAAGGTAAACGATCTCCAAGTAACAAATAGGGTGAAGCATATGGGCCTGGGGCAGATGGGTTTGGGAGCTGATTCAGGGGGAATGTGATGGTCGGGAAAGGGTGGAGAGGGGGTGATAGGGGGAGGGTTCAGAGGAGATGGGGGAAGAAGAGAAAAAAAGGAGAGGAAGGGATGCAGGGTAAGGGCTTACAACCTCTGCCGTGTTTTTACTGACATCCGACGCTCCATAAGAGAGCTTTTCCCTCACTTCCTGTCTTGCTGACAACATTTATATCAGACAGACAGGAAATGATGGAAACTCTTCAACAGCAATGCAGACATCCATAAAATGTTTTTCTCTCTCTAAGTAGGGGTAGTCTAGAATTCCTGTCAGATTTTAATTTCTAAGGGTGAGGTGCTGGACTTCCTGTAGACGAACAGAAGCAGATTTTAGGCCTGAAGGATCGGTTCTGGCAGCTCTTAACAGAAACGGGAGGGGCCCCTGCAGGGGGAGGGGATACTCAGAATGAGAACTCTACATAAATGAAGACAAAAAAAAAATGGCAAGTAATTCTCTTGAGTCCCAAAAAAAAATCCCTTTTTATTGGTTGCACAAATGACAACAAGAAGATATGCACGGCCAATGTGTTTCGGGGGGGGGGGGGGGTGATCCCCCTTCTTTAGGGCTTAAGCAAGGAACAGGCCACTGATGGACTATAAGCGTACGGCCCCTGCACACAAATCTCGGTTCTGGATGTGCCCCTGACATAGACCCCCCCATGGCCAGAAACATCCACAGTAAAGAATAGCAGGGCTCTGATGTCACAGAATGATGTTCATTAAATTCAGCACACATCGGTAACATTTGTTATTTGTGTTGGGAGCTCGTCTGGGCTGCGTCTGTATATTAAACATTCTCGTGTTGAGGAATTCAAATAAGGGTGTTTAATAAACCATAATTGGGTGCGGAGAAACAGGATGTTTGCTCCGTGTCTGCTGAAAATGAATTACGGCTCCAGCGGTTGAAATATCAGCTGGCTCAAGTTTACGTTACAGCGCGGACACTGCGGCACAGACCTGTATAATGAACTCTGACCTCTCTTTATCAATGCATTAAAATACAGATCAGAAGTGAAAGAGGAAGTAGGGCTGGCTTTTGATCCGTGTAGGCCTGGGCTGGAAATATCCCTGGTCACCATAGCAACTGGCTGGTGATTGATATCTGCACTTGAAAATAATAGCAAATTATGGATAAAGGAACCCATAGTCACCGCAGGATCCGAGTCCTGGGCCAGTGACAACACCGTCGTTGCTGGTACATCGTATCTACACCCAAGAACTAAATTGTAATATGTTGCAGCTTGCTAGTCTTTCTCACCTGGTGATCCTGCCAGTAACATTCTTCTTGTCCTAGAACAGGACCACAGAACACCTCCCCGCTTTCCTATTCTCCATGACATAGGTGGGAGGTGGTCTGTAATACACAGAGATAGCTGGGAACCATCGTAGCTGATAAGAGTGCAGCACAAACAGAGAGCACAGGAAGTTATTGATAGGCTGATGGGATTTCTGGCAATTCTATAGGGAGTTTGTGGTCCTATTGAAGAGACATGACAAAAGTATTTAGAAGGAATATTGAACATGTACACTATATTGCCAAAAGTATTGGGACACCCCTTCAAATCATTGGATTCTGGTGTTCCAATCACCTCCATGGCCACAGGTGTATCAAATCAAGCGCCTAGGCATGCAGACGTATCTACTAACATTTGTGGAAGAATGGGTCGCTCTCAGGAGCTCAGTGAATTCAAGTGTTGTACAGTGATAGGTTGCCACCTGTGCAATATGTCCATCCGTGAAATTTCCTTGCTACTAAATATTCCACGGTCACCTGTTAGTGGTATTATAACAAAGTGGAAGCCACTGGGAACAACAGCAGCTCAGCCACGAAGTGCTAGGCCACGTAAAATGACAGAGCGGGGTCAGCGCATACTGTCGCCAATTGTCTGCAGAGTCAATAGCTGCAGATCTCCAAACCTTCAGACTGGCACAACAACAGTGTGTAGAGAGCTTCATGGGATGGGTTTCCATGGCCGAGCAGCTGCACCCAAGCCTTACATCACCAACTGCAATGCAAAGCTCCGGATGCAGTGGTATAAAGCACGCCGCCACTGGACTCTAGAGAAGTGGAGTGATAAGGAAGATCAACTAAGCAGTGCACTGAAAAATGTACCCTTTGTCTGTAGTTCCTCCTGAATAATAGCAATTCACTTCCTGGTATGTGGTGGTGCCTAGGCTCTCCTGTGTCTTGAGCCTCATAGCTGTATATCTGCAGTGGGAGATCTAAGGCACTGCCGTCTCTGACTGCCAGTCTAAGGAGATTTAAAGTGAGGTCTGGTGCTGTGCTACTCACTTGCTGGAAGCTCTGCCATGAGGAAGCAAAGCCCTGCCTCTGGCAAGATAGCCGCTTCCACACACAGACACAGTAGAGAACAAGACACGGTAAGTCAGTAATGGTGGAAAGATGGAAAGATCAGCTGCAGGTAGACTATAGGCAATGCTGGTGACTAGTCCTTTGCCCTCTGCCTGACACATTTTTGGGGCAAAGGTTTCAGCATTCAATTCCTCTTTAACCACTTGCTGCCCAGGTGTAACATCCCCTTCCTGTCTAGGCCATTTTTCAGTATTCAGCGCTGCGGTGCTTTGACTGACATTTATTCCGTCATGCAGCGCTGTACTGA